CGATTCGATCGGATAGCAGAAAAATATCAACTTCGGGAACTTTTCCTCCCGCAGCAGCGGCAGCAGCAGCAGCAGTGTAGCATGTCGTCCGCGCCTCGCGCGCGCCCTCGTGTGTATCGCTCAGGCCACCCGCGCCGGCTCCTGAGAGCTAACGACGTACAGGTAAGGTCTAACGTTTCCACACACGCCCAAAGGCAAAGTGGGGCTGGGGAGGAGATTAGAAGACCTGGACGCTGTGGAGCAACCAAAGCGCGAAGAGCCTCACCAAGAGCGCAACCACACACAGACACACACGAGCTCGCCGAGAGCGAGACAGAGGCACGACACACGCCCCGGCGAGCGGCGTGCGCGCAGCGCGGGGCTACGCGACGGGAAAGAAAGTGCAGGAACACAGCGCGAGAGCCGAGCCTAGATCGTTCTCTGGTAGGACGGGAACGAGATGATAGTCTAGGGAGTAGAAGAAAGCAAAGAGGAGCCCTGCGCACGCACGACTCCGCAGGAGAAACCCCTCCCGCCCGTGCTTGCGCATCACAGAAAACCGCGGCCGCCAGCGACTGAGCGTCTCGCTGGCGGACGGGGAGAGGAACACAAAGGGACGTCCAGACGTCCATCCACTGGGATGAGAATACTGGAGATCTGAGGTCGAATCTGCCGATTCCACAGCCGCCCACAGGAGCGCCGCCTCAACACGGGGTCTCGGCTCTATCGAGCCATGCTAGCTCCAGCCGCAGCCCCACCCGGCCGCCCGAGGGTGTTCCCGCAGGCAGAGAAGACCAATCCTGGGGGAAGTAACCGGCTCGGGCCTCGGCCCTATCGCGGTCCTCGCCGTCGCAAAGCCATAGTTGCATGGAACGTTGGCGCTCCGGTACCGGCAGGGTAAAGCCGTACCGGGGTCAGCGTCGAGGTCGACGAGCGAGACAGTGTGTGATCTGAACCGCCCCGGAGCGGGCCGTCGGGAGGCGTGTGGAGCGCGGCTCCGCTCGTTTCGTCTCGACGACCGCGCGGACACGGTCGTAACCTTAACCTCTCGCGCATATACGCGGTCCACAAGTTTCTCCGAGACCTTCATATACACTTCCCAGCGGCCATCTGGTAACGCGGACATTCCCGACAGGCTGAGCAGGTGACTCGCTCAGCTCCGCCGACGACGCGCCACAACAACGTCCACAACCGCCCTGCTCCCCCTAAACCTACATAAGGTACACAGACCACCGTGCGCACGAGACGCCTCTGCGAGTTAGATCTAGGGTACCATACTTCCGGGCCGGTGTGCGGGGAGCGGACCTTAACGACCGCCCAGAAGCTCTCTGAGCGAGCCAATCGGGCCAGGACCATCAGCATATGCTACCAGGTCACAGTATGGGTTCGGGACGTATTCACAGCAGTGTCAGCTCACGTGGGGGTAGGGGAGTACCAGTATGGAAGACGTGACGTGATGACGTAATCCAGAGCTGCATTTCTTCCTCGGGCGGATGAAAAAAAAACTCGCGGAGGGAGCAATCATGAGAGTCAATCCGATTGCAATCCAGTGCAATTGCAATTTGCAAATCGCAATCCAAATTTAATCAGGTCTCAGCTCGGGAGCAATCAATGATTGCAGTCCGATTGCATGCAATCCCATACTCCACCGTGGAGTTCTTCTTTTGGAACGTAAAACTCTGACGTTTTACCAACTCCTTGGCGACGCGCGCGCGCGTCGCCAAGGCTCAGCGACCTCGGTCGTACAATCGGCCGGCTGCGCGGGTTTTCGGCGAGTTTCCCGCGCACCGGCCACGACGGACCAACCAGACCAAAAATCGCGACGCTCGCGCGCAAAAATCAGCACAGAATCAACGCTCACGACGCTCTCGATGATCTCGATGATTCGAGGATTTGAGGATGGTGAGGGGTGAGGGTGAGGTGTGCCCCCCCCCTCCCCCCCCGCCCGGCCTCGAACCCGCAGCCAACCGGCCCGAAGGCGAACCTCTGACCGCTACGCCAGCCACCAATGCACAAACCTCGACGCCACAAATTTCTGAACCCCATACACCCATGCACTCAGCTCACAATCAGCACCCTACACAGTATGATTCCCGCGCGTCTCGCGCCCCAACTGACAACTCACCATTGTCCCTCGGACACCACTCTCCAGCCGCGCTACTTTCGCCCACCCACCGCTCTCGCATGACATCTCGACAATCCTCATCTCTGGGCCCAGACTCCTAACCACTTCCCCTGCTCGCCCAGGACCACGAAGCGCCGCCCGCGCGCCCATTGACCCCCCAATCAACCCACGCTGTCCCTCAACCGCCACCCGCCAGATGTACTGCCCTCGCCCACCCAATACTCTCACCCTCCTAACCCGGACAGTCCAGGTACAGGAAAAGCGGGGAGCGGGGCCCGATCCAAGGAGCACCCCGTCGGCCCGGGAGGGCTGTGAATTTCGGCGCGGGCGGAAGGCTGCCTGCAGACGCTCAGCCCCCGGCTGAGCTGCCGAATCCTCCCGGCTAATCCCCTGACCTGCCGCCTGAAACGGGACAACATTACACCACCTCACACACACTCCCCCCTCAGGGCTAAGCAGTGCGCAAGTCCACCCGAACTCTAGGCGAGGCGTCGACCACTCCTTCGGAATAGCTCTGTCAGTGGCTGCACTAGACGCCCAGTGATGGCGCGCGGCGCGGGCGGATGACTGGAAGAGAAAATGCGGAGATGCTAGCTCGCAGGTAGATGTGCTCAGCCAAGGGTAGGGGATGAGGGGAATGTGTCAGTGTGAGGGGTGCACCAACCGCAGAGCGTTGTGTTTTGCCTTTGAAAACTGAACAGTTTTTTTTCTTCTTTTGGAACGCTCCAGACCGGCGCGGCATGTCTCGCCGCCAGTTCTTTGCGCGCGTGGATCCCAATGCCACGCTGTGGGAGAGAACGGCGAGATCTGCCCAGACAACCCGGTGGCGGACAATGCGATGCGCCACCTGAGGGCCGAGGCGCGCGACGTGCAGCTAGAGAAGGCGCTGCAGGCGCTGGCAAAGGCCATGCTCGGCGCCACCGTCACCGTGAGCGACGACGAGGTGAGCTTCTGGACGGCCGAGGGAGAGCTTCCGCTCCGCGCGCCGGTCCTCGAGAAGATGCTCGTCGTGCCGTCCGTTGAGCGCGCAGTGGTGGGCATCACGAAAGGCTGGCGGGACGGCATCGCCGAAGAGCTGCGGCAGATGCTGCAGCGGGGCAACCGGCACGCCGATCCTCGAGAGCAGGCCCAGGTGGCCAACCAGATCTCGGCCCTCCAGGCGCGCACTGAGCGCCAGGAGAAGGTGCAGGGGCAGATCCTCGACAAGCTGTCCACCCTCAACCGGGCGGTGACGGCGACTGACAAGCACGCAAAGGCCCTCGAGGACCGCACGGAGCGAGCCCTCCGTCTCTTGGAGCAAGAGTCCGGGGGTTACGCCAAACGCATCGCAGCAGCAGCAGCAGCAGCAGAGAGAGGCGCCAATTTTGAGATATCCCGAGACAGCCCGGAGATGGCCCCGCGTTGTAGCCCCGGTGCCGGCGCCTCACATCTCAGCATCCAGGGGCCGGTTCCGCCGCGCAGTCGAGCAGCAGGAGCTCGGGCACAGCTTTGTCGACAAAGAGCTTGATCAAAATTTCGGCGAAGAAGCGCCACCGGCGGCACGCCGGGATGAACCCGGACCGATCCCATTGTTCACAACCGCCGCGGCGAGCCGCCGCGGGCCCACAGAAGGGCTGGGAGCCGCGGCACTAGACCGCGCCGCCAGCGGGGCGAGAGCACCAGCCGACAACCTGCCGACATGGCAGTTGCGATGGCGCCTTCACACAAAAACACAACCACGGACCCAAGACAGTCGAGAAAGGGATAGACCGCAACGACAGTCAGAAGGCGCTTTCACACACACACACACACACACACACACACACACACACACACACACACACACACACACACACACACACACACACACACACACGGAACTTATTCAGGCGCCTCCGTTTCGTTCACGTGTGTCCGAGCGCCTCTTGGGAACAAGATGCCTCGCTCTGCTTCAAGATCGGTGGAACTTATTCGAGCGCAACGGCGTACTACTTGGCTAGCACGCTATTGGCATACCGACGGCTAAGACCGAAATCAGTTCACACCTGCTCTTGCAGGTGTGAACACAAAGGATTCGCTGTATCTACTCAGCTGCTCCGCTTACACTTACCTTTGAAGTGTGAACAGCGGATTTTGTATCAGCGTTCTCCTTGAACGTATCGGTGTCGGTGTCGAACACCGCTCTGACAGCGCTCACAGCTGCGTCTCTTCTCGAGGTATTAGCTGGCAAGGTATGGTGCGGCTGGCCGCACTGCTTGGTGTGCTGCTGCTCCTCCTCGCCGATGCGCGCCGCACGCAGTCAAAGCACTGCACGGCAATCCAGCTCGACGCAGGGACGACGCGGCTCGACCTCAAGGGTTGCGGCTTGGCGCGTGTGCCGGAGCACATCGATTGGTGCGCGCTCAAATCTTTGACGTTTGTCGACATGAGCCAGAACTTCCTCGAGCGCATCCCGACGACGCTCGCTTGCGCGACCGCGATCCGCGTGCTCTTCCTCTCCGCCAATCCCGGCCTGAACCACGTGCCCAAAGTCGTCCGGTCGTTGCCCAGCCTCAAGATGTATGCTCAGCGCTCCTCCGGACTCACGAGCATCACCGCGTCCGACTTCCCGCCGTCGCTCGAATGGCTCATCCTTATGGACAACGCGCTCGAGTCTCTGCCCGATCTCTCGAGCTTTCCGATACGAAAGCTCATGCTCTCGCACAACCGCCTGGCCTCGGTTGGCGCGCTGCCGCGCGCGCTCGAGATGCTCAGCCTCGCCAACAACCGGCTGCGTTCGCTGCCCGAGAGCGTGCGGACCGCCGCGCGGCTGACCTGGGTGGTCCTCTCGTCGAACCCGCTGCTCGACGACGACGCGCCGCCAAAGCCGCGCCTCGCGGTCCCCGAGCTGCCGCTCGACCAGTTTCCGCGCTTGCAAACGCTGGCGACGAACCAGGATAAGAGCGTCGTGCGCTCTGCAGTCGGCGGCCGGCGCGTCGCCATCAAGTTCTTCGGCGCGCGCGACAGCAGCGGTCTGCCCCGGCACGAGGTGCGCATGTGCGGCGCCGTCGGCGACCACCACCGCAACATCATCAACACGCTCGGAGTGCAACTCACCCCCGCGCGGCGTCCGGCGGTCGCACTTGAATTCCTTGATGCCGACGACGGCTGGGCTCCGATGGGCGGGCGGCCCAACTTCGAGACAATCACGCGCGGCACGTTCGGGCCGCAGCACGACCACTTCTCCGCCGCCGAGATCGCGCACGTTGGCATCCTTGTCGCGCGCGCGCTCGCCGAGCTGCACGCCTTGGGCATCGTGCACGGCGACGTGTACGCCCACAACGTCATGGCGCGCGCGCGGCGCGGGCTCACCGCGCGGGCGGAGCTCAAGCTCGGAGATTTCGGCACGGCGATGCGGCTGACTCCCGCCCTCAGGGAGCAGCTGCTCGCGTGGGAGGTGCGGGCCTTTGGGCTGATGCTCGACGATATGCTCATCCACTCGCGACCGTTGAGAAACGCGCAGCTCAGCCGAGGGCTAATTCAGCTCAAGACAGAGATACTGGCTGGAGGCGCGCAGGCCGGCTTGACCCCGGTCGCCCGAATGCTCAACGACTTAGTGGCAGGGTGGACTGCGGTACAGGGCATATGGCGAGACCCGAGCCGTACAGCGGCGCATCGGTACAATATTACGGTGGAAGGTCTCTTGGTGAGTGTGAATGGGCGAGATGTAGCAGGAACAGAGTGGAACGTCTTCGGGTTTGCGAACGACGACGAAGGCTCGTTTCTGTTTGATTTCAGCCCCGCCGGTGGTTCGGCCGGATTGGATGCGAAATATTCACGCCACAGCGGCACTCTGCACTGGGGAGATGGAATGACATGGGCACGAACCCCACCTTAGCTGCTACTTCGTAATAGACCGAACTGTGCGTTCATCACCGGGCTCGAGCACAAATGCGCCGACGCCCGCGCCGCCGCGCCTGTGGTGTGTCGCGCCGAGGGGAGCGCGCCTCTTTCCTCAGACACGCGCGATGTCAAACGCGCTGTCTCAGACGCCACACCCACGCAAGCATTACACCCGCTCGCGTGTGTAACCTCGTCGCGGGGTGGGTCTAACCCACTCGGGTTAGGCTTAGTAGGCACGTGACGCGCGCTTTCAACTCTGTTTTGGGGTTCAAAGCATTAAATAGATCCCGCCACGCCGCAGGTAGGTAGGTTCTAGGTAGAAAGGTGAAGAACAGCCAGGCTCGGACTGGACACCAACGCGGTATGGGTGGACGCTGGACAGATGATGACGACACGCACGAGCGACACACAGACACAAACAAGCTCACAAGACACACAGCCAGCTGGCTGCCACACACCCTGAGTTGGCGTACACATAACTCAGGGCCACGCCCCTCCTGTCGCCCCCCCCAGCACCCACGGTGCCAAGAGTACAAACAAGGGCACAACAAACAACAGACGACAGGGGCGAACGCGTGAGGCTAGAGCAGGCTTGCTCGTCCTCTAGCAATCTCCGCCGACCGCGAGGCCGGACTAGCGACGCCTTGTCCCTTGACGATCGAGATGAGCGCGCTCGAGGCTCGCCCACCTACTGCCCCTGAGAGTTGGTTATGAGTGGGCTCAGCTCCCCCCCTTGGGATCGAAGCTTCCACGACCTCACACCCAACACCACAGGTGGGATCAGAGAGAGACTCCGCACCGGACACCGCCCGGGCACAGACTCCCTACCCATCGGATCGCACAGGGCCCCCTCGGAGCAGCCCACACACAATCACGCATCGGCAGAATTAGTGCCTGAGTCAGGCAGACAGCACAGACAAGGAGAGGAGAGAGAGGAGAGAGAGAGAGAGGAGAGGGGAGAGGGTGAGGGTGTGTGCACACGTGTGGAGAGGGAGGGTGTCTGTGGTGGGCTGTAGTCATACTACGTGGTTAAAACCACGCGCCCCTCAGGAGCTAAGGAGAGTGTTTGGGTGTCTCAAAACACCGGCGTCGGCGACTCACTCCCCGGAGGGTTGAGCTGCTCGACTGGTTGTCTGCGAGGCAGTCCGAGCACGAACTAGTCGTCGATCCGCTGACGATCCCCGCCGCTTCACCGTCGGAGCGGCGGCGGGTGAGAGTTAGTCAAAGGTCCACCAGCACAGCCTCCAGCCACCAGCCTCCGCCTCCACCGTCGAGCCGCGATCGCTGCCGCCCGCGACGCCGCCCGCCGCGTCAGATGCCCGCGACGCCCGCGGCAAGTCGAGTCGGAGAGCCGAGCCGCACCAGCAGCAGCATCTGCACCAGCAGCAGCACCACCACCAGCAGCAGCAGCAGCAGAGAGAGGCGCCAATTTTGAGGTTGCCCGAGACAGCCTGGAGATGGCCCCGCGTTATAGCCCCGGTGCCGGCGCCTCACATCTCAGCCTCCAGGGGCCGGTTACGCCGCGCAGTCGAGCAGCAGGAGCTCGGGCACAGCTTTGTCGACAAAGAGCTTGAGCAAAATTTCGCCGAAGAAGCGGCACCGGCTGCACGCCGGGATGAAGCCGGACCGTGTTCGGCACCGCGACGGCGAGCCGCCGCGGGCCCACAGGAGGGCTCGGAGCCGCGGCACCGGTCCGCGCCGCCAGCGGGGCGAGAGCACCAGCCTACAACCTGCCGACATGGCAGTTGCGACGGCGCTTTCACACATTAACTTGGAGCACTTGGAGTGCAGTCATTAGCCTCACTCCTCTCACATCCAGGGCCGGGGAACTGAGAAGCGCACCCAGCGAGCCGGACGATCGGGATCGGGCTACGGGCTAGAGAGCCCTGACCCCTAGCTAGGGGGGTGCGCGTTCGCAGGGAAAGGGCCGAGCCTTATGAAAAAAAGAATTCGCCGAGCCGCCCGTGCTGCGAGCGAGAGGCCAACGTGTGTATATGCCCTCGCTCAGAACGGCCATCCATTACGAAGGTGACGACCCGCGCCTCCGTATCGCCGGCGACCGCTGCGTGCGCGGCGACGGTTCGTGCACGTTCGATTTCCAGACCTCGCTCGAGCTGTGCCTCACCGGGAGTGGCGAGTGCACACTGTCGATCGACCTCACTGCGGGCGGCAACGGCTTCGACTTGTTGGTCGACGGTCAGCTGCATTCGATGCTGGAGACGCACCGGCAGTGGCGCAGGCGACGCACATACTCGTTTGTGCTGCCTCCGCTCCCATCCGACACGCGCTGCATCAGCCTCGTCAAGCGCACGGAGCCGGTGGCGGTGCAGCTGCTGCCGTACTGTCGAGTGCGCGCCGCGACGCTGCACGGCGTGGACCTGTCAGAGGGCCACGCTCTCGTAGATCACACGCCACCGCGCCGCATCGAGTTCGTGGGCGACTCGAACCTCGCCGCGTTCGGAGTGCTGGGCGCGCCTTCGACCATCGGCCTGCGTGGGCTCTTCGGCCTCGGGCTCAGCCAGCAGAGCATACGCCACTCGTGGGCACACATGCTTTGCAGAATGTGCGTCGCGGAGCCCTGTGTGATCGGTTGGAGCGGCGTGGGCGTCGTGCAGAACGCGATTGGCACCGGCGGTAAGCACCGCATCGCCGAGATCTACGAGAGGTGCCTCGGCAATGACGGCTCGAGATTCGACTTTGCGACGGCCGCATGGAGTCCGCAGATTGTGTGCGTCGACGTGGGCGCCAACGACGTGTACGGCGGCAGGGCGCCCCCGAGCGAGGCTGCCTTCGTCGACGCATACGTGGCGCTGCTCCAGCTCATTCGCCGCCACCGCCCGCAGCCGTGCCTGATGCTCTGCATCGTGCCTCGCCTCGACACGCCAGTCTACCTCGCCGCGGGCTATCGCGCGGACGACGACGGCGGCATGATGCAGTCCTACCTGAGGAGCGCCGTCGACGCGTACGAGCGCGCCTCGGGCGACCAGCTGGTGCGACTGGTGAGCATCGCCGGCGTGTTTGCGTGGCCGGCGGACGGCGGAAGCCTCGAGCACTGGGGGGTGAGGGCGCATAAAAAGTACGCCGACGCGGTGCACGCTGTGGTCGAGCGGCTGCCCGTCGATTGGGTGTGAGAGCGCGTTCGAGTTGAATGCGTTTTGGGCGGCCGAGGCCGCGCTCGAACCTCGATCCGCGAGACCGACGGCGAGAAGAGTTATAGTATCGTTTCCTCTCTCTCTAAACAATGCGCGTTGCGATCCACATCACCACCGGCTCGCGGCAATATGGGCACAGCTGCAACCTTTCGGAGCAAGGGCCACACGCGCACTGGTGACCGCAAGGCCCCGCCGCGTGTGTCTTGGGTCGGGTGAAGCAAATGATGCATGTGGTCTCGCCGCCCATGGTGGACTCGGGGACCGCTGCGCGGCCAGTGTTGAAGTTGGCGTCGGCTAGCGAGAGCGCCGCAGCGGTCTGTTCCTGCTCCTCACTCGGCAGAAGGTTGCCGGCGGACTCGGCGGGAGGCGCCTGCTCCGCTGCGCGCCTCGCCTCATCATCAAGCCTCACGCTCTCCTCGAGCGCCGCCGCCAGTGCTGCCTCGTCCTCGTGCTCCCGGGAGGGTCCAGCGCCGCCCCCGCCGCCCTTGCCCTTCTTCTTCTTCTTGCCCTTCTTGCTCTCCTTGGCACGCTCCTCCTTCTCCGCCTCCTCCTCTGCCAGAAGCGCCTCGGCATGCCGCGCCGCCTCCGCCTCTGCCGCTGCTCTCTCCGCCTCCCTCACCGCTGCCTCCGCCGCCGCCTCCGCCGACGCATGCTCCTCAAAGACGCGCACGCACTCGTCGTCGCCCTTATTCCTGGCTATCTGCAGCGCAGTCCAGCCGTCCTCAGGGCGCAACGCCGCGTCTGCGCCCGCCCGAAGCAGGCGGAGCACGACGGCGGGGTGGCCTGCGATGGCGGCGCCCATGAGCGCAGTCTCGCCGTCAACATCCTGCTTGTTAATCTCCGCCCCTCGCTGCAGCAGCAGCTCGACCACCCGCTCGTGGCCGTGGTGGGCGGCGCTCATCAGCGCGGTGCGGCTGCTGCTGGCCTGCATGTCGACCTGCGCGCTGTGCTGCAGCAGCAGATCGGCCACCCGCTCGTGGCCGTGGCCGGCGGCGTACATCAGCGCGGTGTAGCCCTCGCTGCTCTGCTGGTCGATCTCCGCGCCGCGCCGTATCAGCAGCTCGACCGCCCGCTCGTTGCCGTCTCCGGCGGCATTCCTCAGCGCGGTGTCACCGTTGCTGTCCTGCAACTCTATCTCCGCGCCGTGCTGAAGCAGCAGCTCGACCACCCGCTCGTGACCGTTGCAAGCGGCGCCAAAAAGCGCGGTGCCGCCGTGGCTGCTCTGCAAATTGGCCTCTGCGCCGTGCTGCAGCAGCAGCTCGACCACCCGCTCGTGGCCAAGGGTGTATCGCGCGCCTTGCGGGGGGGGCGCGGAAAAGAGGAACCTCTTAGCGCCATCGCCACGGTGCTGCATGCAGCGCCGGGCGACGACGGCTTACCGCCTCCCGGTCCCCCTCGGCACACCTCCGCTGCTCAATGTTTGACGGCTCGAACCCGTGAAGCTTCCCCGTGAGGGGAGGCCAAAAAACGCATATTTTTGTCCACCTACCAGGGCTAATCAGCTGGACCCGGACTCCACACTCCAGCACACACGGCTAGATTTCATGGCGGGCCGCCTCTATAGGCCCTGGGGTCGGAGGTAGAGTCGCTGTCGGGACTCGGGGGCGTGTATGTGTGTGTGTGTGATGCACGCCCTGCGAGCGGGCTGCGAGCGGGGCCCAGGGGTGCGGTGCGCGCTGTGTGATCTCATGACGTAACACATAGAGTCTTCGAGCCGTAATCGCAAATGGGACCCGAATGGGACCGGAACGAATATTGGGACACGGGTATTGGGACCCAGGCGCTCTCCTGCCGCTGGCGTGCTCCGCCGACCCCGACCGTCGGCGCTGCACGTGAGGCATAGCTACCCCAACGCCCTGCGAGCTTCCCCGCGCGCCCTGGGCGCCTCGGCGACCCCCCTCGCGAACCCTGTATTGACTCATCAATAGCAGTATTGTTACTTTTTTTAACAGTAAAAGGACGCGAGTAAGTGCGAGTGTTTTAGCGTAAGAGTAAGGTGGGAGTGTGGTGTTGCGCTATAGAGGATTGCTAGATAGGCACCGCCGTCGCCATCACCGGCTCCCCGATCATCGGGGTTGCCATGGCCACGCCCGTCATTGGAGCCGCGACCGGATACGCCGTGGCCTGAGTGTACACACTGTCAGGGTACGCTGTGGCCTGAGGGTACGCCGTGGCCTGAGGTAATTGAGGGTGGCTCGTGCCCGTGGCTGACACCTGCGTCGCTGGCGCCGTCGGCGGCCTGGCATCACGATTGCGGCGTCGGCGCATGCTGATCTTCAAATAGACGAGGGGTGGGATGCAGAGTACGCAGAACACGCCGCCCACAATCGCTGCAACGGGCAGCCCTCGTCCACCCTCCTCGTCGGCGCTCGGCGGCGCGCTCGGCGACCACGAGCCGTCGCAGTCTTCTGTGAGCGTCAGCTGAGAGGAGCCACTCGCCGCCCGACTACCACACCACCGCCACCAGGTGTGTGTGCCGAGTGGCAGATCCAACGACGGACCCAGCCCTTCCCGATTGCCGTCGTTACAGCAAGAACCGGACCCTCCCTGCAGATTGCTGCTCGCGCTGGTGCTCGGAGCCCCGCAACCGAAAAACCAGCCCGACGCCCAAGCCTGTCCGCCGCCACCGCAGTTGCTGTCATAGAACAGGTAAGACGAGGCCGACTGGCCGCCCGTTGCGCCCACGTAATATGTATTGCCGTCTGCGGTCTTGCCTGCCGGTATGTACAGTTGATTCAGCGCCGCGTTGTTGCCATTGGCGCAAGCGAATCCCGAGAGGCGCACGCTACATGGCGGCGGCGGCGAGGGCGGCGACGGTGGGGGCGGCGGCGCTGAGGACCCGCCAACTGCGGCCGGCCCGTAAATCATGCACCACGCAGCAAGGGCGCGTGCCATTACGCTGCGCCTGGTGGCGGCGCTGGCAGGCCCAACCTCACCGTCCGGCCGCATACACACACATGCACATATGCCTGCCGACCGCCACATTTTGCCACCGGGGTTCGGCTCCTTGCCGTTAGGGCAGCGTTTTTTGCGCTGCATTCCAACTGTTCTCGAGGTTCTCGAGGTGGATATCCTTTGGCCGCGTTGGGTAGCGAGGATTGGTGTAACCCGAGCCACGGAGGCGTGTTTTCTGACGGCCGACCGTCAGTGCACGGAGTTGCCCCTTCTCCGACTGCCCCGGCTAGTTCCCGAGGCTCGCCGGCTCGCCCTACGTCACCCAGGACCTAGCGCGGGTGGGTTGGAGGGGGGCTCGCTGCAGGGAAGGGCTGTGTAAGAAGCCGATCCCCGTAGTCCGCCCCGCTCCTCCCCACCCATCGGGCCGCATGAGCGGCCACGCCTCGCAGATTCGTTTTCGCGCCTGGGTCAGGCGCGCGGGGCATCCCCCGGGTCGCTCGACCAGCGATCCGAAGAGTGGCCGCTATGCGAAGGAAAGAGCGGGGCCCTCGACGCTCAGTCCGGCCCTCCGAGGGGGGAAGGGAATTGCGGGGTCCCCACGGGCGCCTCAGTTCGGCCCTCCCGAGGGTGGTTGCAATCCCGCCGACCGCCAGGCCGCGGGATGATGTGTGCGTGGTCATGTAGTGGGTCTCGGAAGCTCCCCTCTCGGGCTAGGGGCCAGCCCCTCTCCCTTGCCGAAAGAAAGAAAGAAAACAGACACGCCAAACGAGGGATGGGACGAGGACAGGGTCCCCACCTGCACGAGCAGGATTTTGGAAGGACGATCAGGGGGACAGGTGGGGCTCTCCTGTCCCTTGCCCTCGGAACCATTTTACGAATGATTTTTTTTTATTTTCCCGCTCCTCGTGTACGTGGGCTACACGCGCAGGGGGGTGCGCCCGCCGTACGCGTCATGGCTCGCGAGTCTGATATCATGCTCGCCGTCGCCCGCGTGAAGGCCGCGCATCCTGACGCGACCGCAAGACGTGTGCTCGACCTTCTTTCGATCGATGCACCCGAGCTTTCAGTTACGCTCTCCGATGTGAAGCGTGCGTGCTCGAAGCTGGCAAAGGCAGCCGCAGCAAGCTCCAAGGCAGCGGCTGCGGCGACTGCTCCATGCCGCAGCAGCGACGAGCCGAAGGCGTCCACGCTACGGCTCCCCGGCGCCCGCAGTCCGAATCGAGACCTCTTGGACGACGCGTTGTCGGCGGCCGATAGAGCTTGCATCGAGTCTGCGTCTGCGTCAAGAGCTGCAGCCTTGCTGCAGCGCGCCGGTGCGGCCGATGCTGCGCGTTTGCTGTCTACCGTACTCTCCTGGACGGACAGCGGAGATGACCTCGCCTGTGCCAAACTGGTCGAGTTCACACGTGCTGGCGGTGCCGAGGCGGCGGTGCATGCGCTCAGTCGCTTTGGCGCCGATCATGAAGCAGTTGCGATTGCAGGTCTGAGCGTCATAGACATGCTGTGCAGATCGATGCGACTGTGCAGAGACGCGCCCGCTCTGCGCGCCACGGGCATCAAGCGCAAGCTTCACGACGCCGGCGCGCCAGCAGCGGTGGTCGGCGCCGCGCGTGAGCACCATTCGCTCACCTCGCTGCTCGCGTCTCTCGGTGCGATCTCGTCGTTGACCGGAAGCAAGGAAGACGGAGAAGACATGGGCGAGTACACGCGACTGGTGGCTGACGCCGGGGCGTACACGTCTGTGCTATCTGCTCTCGAGCGCCTTCCTAACAACGAGACTGTGTGCATCGAGGCGTTGCGTGCTGTGACCAATCTCTCTGATGCCGGCCCAGCGCCACCTGGCTTGCTGAGTGCTGCGGTGACTGCGCTACGCTCCCACCGCGACAGCCGAGACGTTCGCGTCAAGGGGCTGTTTGCTCTGTCAAATCAGATCATCCATGTGCGTGATCCCGCTGCAGCCGGAGCGCTGGCCGCTCGCGGATGGACAGCGGAGGCGGCAGGGCTAGCTATTGACGCCCTCAACGTGTATACCGGAGACGTCGAGATGTGTATGCGGGCGAGCATGTTCCTTGTCAACGGGCTGAGTGCCGGGTTCGCGGAGGAGATCACACGGAGCGGACCGGCGAAGGCGGCGGTCCGGAGAAGCGCTGCCGCGCACCCGCGAAACGTGATGCTGCAGGACATCAGCAATCAGATTTTGCGGCTCCTCAAGATGCATCGGTCCGGTGTGCTCGCGCCGATGATCCTCGAAGCCGCGGCCGCGGGTGAGGCGCCGATGTACAACTGTGTGGATGTGAGCACCGCGGCGATCGCGCCGAAACGCGAGCCCCGCGTGTTTGGCACGCCCGAGGTTGAGATTGAGTGGACGCGCACATACAGTGGTGTGGACGCGCAGGCGCTAAGCGGCCAGCGCGTGCGGATCATTGGGTCGGACGAGCTGAACGGCAGCTTTGGCAAGGTGGAGGGCGTGTCCGAGATTAAGGGCACGGAGACGCTCGTTGTGAAGCTTGAGGGCGGTAGGGAGCGCTTCGTGTGCCTGCCAGCCTCCAGCCTCCAGCCCTGCCCGCCGAGTGAGCAGCCGGTGCAGGGGCTGGATCTGGAGGTGTCAGAGCTGACGGTGGTGGACCTCAACGGCGGGCTGCCGGAGTGCCAGCCTGATTTCAGCCGACTAGAGCGCTGCTGCTCTGAGTGTGGTGTGCCGCCTCCGAGTGGCAGGTCGTTGTCGTGCGCGAGCTGCGGCGTGACGCAGTATTGCTGTCGCGCGCACCAGAAAGCGGCCTGGCGGCGGGGCGGCCACCGGCTCACGTGCGGGCAGCCGCTGCCAACCCCCGCCGGCATAACGGGCGCGGACACGCTGCGATTGCTCCAAGGTCTGCGCGAGTTTGGGCGGGCGTGTCCGCAACTCGTCGTACAAACGTTCACGGAGCTGATGCAGCGCTCGACTGGCGAGGGCGGTGTGCCCCTCGCTGACTCACAGCTCGCGCGGCTGGTTGAAGCGGACGGCGTGCATGCCACGGCCGTGATCGACGCGATGCGCGCGTTTCCAGAGCTCGAGGGTGTGCAGCAATTGGCGATGCCGCTGCTGGGCAACATCTTCTGCTTCGGGCGGCGGCATGTGCTGGCGGCGAATGGGGTTGCCACCCTCGTCAGCGGACTGGACCGCGTGCCGACTCAAGTACCACCCCCCCCCAACCCGCCCTGCCCCTGCCACGCGACGCCGTGCACCGCCCTCAGCCCGGTGAGTGTGCTTGTCCGCAGGCCGTCGTAGAGTCGGCTGTCGCAACGCTCGTAAACATGATGATGTACGAGGATCCAGCCACCGACGTCAAGCAGGCCTTCGTCGCAGCGCGCGGGATCGAGGTTCTTTGCTCAGTGGCGCCGGCTCACTCAGGCTGCGAGTTTATCGTCCGCCGCGTGTCGACGCTGCTGTACGCCGTGTCGGCCAACGATCAGCGATGCAAGTCGCAGTGCATCGCGCATGGCGCACCCGCCACTCTGGCCGCCGCACTCTCAGCGTTCGGCGGCAACGACGAAGTCGTGAGCAACGCCCTCGGTGCGGTGCGCAACATCTGCGCCGGGGACACGGAGGCGGGCCACGAGCGCAAGAGTGCGTGCGTCGGCGCCGGCTTGCTCCCGTTGGTCGTGAAGAGCGTTCGCACACACCTACGTGACACGGAGATCGCAGAGCTCGGCTGCTCGGCGCTGGTAAACCTCGTGTGCGCCGAGGCGCACGAGGCAGCCGCGGCCTCGGCCGGAGGGCACAAGGCCCTGCTGACTACGGTGGTTGCGGCCATGCGGATGGCAGCCGCGGAGGATAGCGCGATGGGACTCATGATTGGAGGTTCGGCCATCAGTTTGTACACCATGCGGGGCGGCAAGGTCGACAAGGGGCTCGCCCTGACGGCGGCGCGGGTCGGCGCCGTCGATGTCCTCACGATCCTGCTCAATCGAGTGCCAGGCGTGGCAGACATGGACACCAGCATCGCCGCAGGACCCCTGTGCAACCTCCTCATCGCCGACCCTGGCGGTGCTGAGATGCGGGCGGCCTTCCGCAAGGCAGGCGTGCTCACCGCCACGCTCAAGGTCTTGAAGCGTGAGCCTGGCCACGAGGTTGCCAGGGAGCTCTATGTGCGCTACGTACAGGGGGCTGCGGCGGACGACGCGGCCCGCGAAGCGCTCAGCAACGAGCATTGTGACGCTCTCAAGGCAGCTGGGTTCCCACCGAGCGAGCTGGCCTGTGCCGTCTAGTCGAATGCTAAAGCTTAGTGAGGAGCGTAGTGGTGGCGCTACCCGCTAGGGAAGGCGCTCGTTGCCTGTGCCCGAACCGCAAAGGCCCGCCGGCCGCAGCGCGCCCGTGAGCGTGTGTGCATGTTCCATGTACTGTACACGCAGTACACGGCCGAGGGCTGTGCGTCGTGGAGGACGGTATACTTTAGTGTATCGCACAGAGCTCCTCGGGGGTAAAGTACCGTACTTCGTAAGGCTAAGGTAATAAAGCGCGTTGGCAGCGTTTAGCAAACAGGGGCCCTACTGCGTACTGGACACCACCAGACGCTAACGCGGTAGGGATGGGACAGCTCAGGGGAATGAGGAATGTCTGGTCTCTGGAGTCAGGCCGGGGGCGCCGGCCCGGTGGCGAGCGGCTGAGACTCGTCTCCGCCGTACTCCGCCCAGGAGCCGTCGTAGATCTCGAGCAGCGAGGCGCGCCTATTCTCGGGCAATCTCGGGCGATCTCGGGCAATCTCGGGCAATCTCGGGCAATCTTAGGTGACCCCTCTCGGTCCGAGGCGCGCCATTCTCAAAGCGACCTCGGGCGATCTCGGCTGGGCCTCGGAAGGGTCTCGGATGGGTCTTGGCTGGATCTCGGCTAGATCTCGGCTGGATCTCGGCTAGCTCTCGCCCCGCATGCTCGAGTGCGAGCGCGAGGACGGCCGCGGTGACGCCCGAGCCGCACGATCCTACCAGCGGCGAGATCACCCGAGATCACCCGAGATCACCCGAGATCACCGCGAGATCACCCGAGACCACCCGAGATCACCTACCAGCGGCGCGTCTACGCCCGGAACGCCCGCCTCGGCAAAGACCGCGGCGACCTGCTCGGGCGGCCTCATCGTGCCGTCTGCTTGGAGAACGCGATCAAACGGCACGCTGCGAGACCCGGGGGCGTGGCCGGAGCGGCAGCCAGCGCGCGCCTCCTTTGCCATCCCCTCGAACCGGGCCTGCGAGCGCGCGTCGACCAACGTCTGCGCCGGCGCCGCGCCGCTCTGGAACGCGTCGACCAACGAGCGGACCTTGGCGAGGTCGGCGACAAGCGATGCGTCCAGCCGCGCCTCAAAGGGCGGCGACGCGCGCGCGACGGGCGCGCGCGGCCCAGACTCGGTGGCGTGGCCGGCGCGCTGCCACGCAGGCAAGCCGCCGTCGAGCACCGATGCAGCCGGGTGCCTAGAGAAATAGAAACACGTGCTGCCACCGGACATCCGGTGACAGGCACAGGCTGCGGCCGGGTGCCCGTATGCGCGCAGCATCCACCAGAAGCGCGCCTAGTCTGGCGCCTCGAGATCAGCCGAGATGAGCCGAGAGCAGCAGAGAGCAGCATCCGTGTACGAGCGCGCCGCCGAGAAGAGTCCCTTGCCGTCGTAGCAGACGACGTGATCGTCGTGAACAATCCCGAGCTCGCTCATCGTCCTGGCGAAGAATGCGTCGGAAGGCAGCATATGAGGCAGCGGCGAAGCGACGTCTGTGGCGTCGACATCGAAGAAGACGGCGCCGGGGATGCGGCAGGCCTCGAACTCCTGCCGCGCGTCGCGGCCCATCGCCGGGAGGTACCAGGACGCGTCCACCACCTTGACCGACGGGCCGCGATTGGCCGCGAGCCAGGCGGGCGAGACGAGCGCCGGAGCTTTGCGCAGCAGCATGGACACCGGAATTGGGGCCCAAAAAAAGAATTTAGACAAAAGAGAGAGAGAGAGAGAGATTCTTTTTTTTCGCCGAAACAGTGATGGCAGGTGTCTCTCTCGGAGCGCCTCCTTTGAGCCCGGCCGATGAAGGGTCCGATGGCACAAACGGGGTGTACGAGGCGATCGAGGATGAGCCAATTACCGGGGACAACACGAACAATGGGGTGGAGACAGGTCGTGGGGACCAGGCAACAAAATCAGCGCCTAAATACCAGTGGAGTTCAGCGAGGACTGCAGGAGAGGTGGAGTCAAAGGGGCGAGGAGGGTTGGCAAAGGAGATTCATCAATGGTTTATGGATGGAGAGATGGAACACAGAGAAGGAGAGGAGTCATCCGGGGAGGAGGGTGGTGGCGATGCATCGACGAAAGAAGAAGGGACGGAGGCGGCAGGGATGGTGCGATCAGATGAGGACAGAGAGGAGGGAGGAGAGAGGAAAGGAGAGGACGTTGAGCACTTTGACTCTGCGCCATGGATGAGTGAGCAGCGCGAGGAGGTAGGTGGGAGCAACCGGAGGATGATGGAGACGATTGTAGTGGAGGCGCTGAGAAATCTATGGGGAAATATCAACGAGGAACTGCTGGTGTACGAGGAGAAGCTGGAGGAGGTCGCGCAACAGGGGGAGGAGAAGCGGCGTAGGGAGACAGGAAGTCATCGTGTACGTGCGAATGAAGATGATTTGTACCGTCGGGGACAAGGGGCTTGCTTGGTGGAAGGGGCCGTGCGGGAGATGGTGCCGAGAGGGGAGGAGGCGAGGATGGAGACGTCAGCTAAGAGGGCGAGGGCAAAGGCGCAGGAAAAGAAGACGCGATCGGTGCGGAGCGCTGAGACGTTATTTCAGATGGGGCCGTTTGGGTGGCGATGCTTTGTGGGCGGACAGAGGGTGGATGCAATTCGGGATGCGGAAGTGCAAAAGCACATGGTGAGCGGGTTGGACGGACGCTATATGAGTGGAGAGGGGACTGGAAGGGTGGAGAAATGGCTGCGTCAGAGTGAGGAACGGGAGGAGAAGGCGATTCAGTGGTCGTTGGAGGAGAGAAATCGGCGGGTGAGAGAGGAGAGGAGGCAAGCGGAGGAGGATCAGAGCGAAGAAATACAGATTTCGGAATCAGACTCGAGCGGATGCGAGGAGGAGGTGGAGACGTGGAAGCGTTATGGACGACGGAAGGGGCAGAAGAAGGCGCGGGTGGATAGAGCAGCAATGATTTCAGATTCAGGATGGGGTCAAGGCAGTCAATCAGTCGATCAGTACATGAGTCAGTCAGTGGACCAGGCAGTCAGTGGTGAGCAGAGAGGGGAAGTTCAGATGGAAGTGGAGAGCGGAGGCGATAGCGGGGCAGCGGGGAGCAGCTGGCAGAGTGGGATCGATAGAGGGGAGTCGAGAGGCGACATGGTGGGAGGAGGGAGCTATGCTGAGGAGGACGACGAGCTTATGCTGGAGTACATGGGGAACGAGGGCGTGGGCAGCGAGCAGATCGACAAGTTCATGGGGTGGACGACAGTGGATATGGGAGACGAGAGGTTGAGAAGTGCGAGGCCGACAAGCAAAGAGGGTCGATGGAAGAGAGGAGCAGCGGAGCGTGGGAATGTTGGAGCAGGGAAGCAGGCAAAGGCGAGGGAACTACGTCACAAGTACACTAGGGAGAGGGATCAGGCGAAACAGTCAGGTGGAGGTGGAGGGTCAGATTCGGATTGATGGGGAGGATGGTTCTGGTGAAGTACGAGGTCAGGGGGGGGAGGGGGTTCGATCTGGCGACGGAGGACTGTGGGCCATCGCGGGGACGGCCCGCCGGAGGCGGGCTCGATTGATCCGGATGGTCACACCCGGTGGGAGGCACCGAGGCGTCGCGGGGACGCTCTTCTGTTCAGTCGACGCTCGTCGTCCACTGAGAACTCAGTGGTTGTCACCACTTTGTATTCTTTAATATTAACCTTGCGAACTCGTCCCCCCCGCCGCCACCTGCCCACCTCCCGTTTGTTTTCGCGCCGATCGATGCAGCGCCGTCTCTCGCCGCGCGAGATGGCGCCGCCGCGGCGTCGGCGCCGCGATCAACCGCGCTCCAGCAGCGAGCGGTGCAGAGCGGCTACCGACATTGGAGACGGCGTCTAAAGACTCAAAAGGCGTGGGCCTCGAGACCTCGAGACTCCACGATCTCGTAGGTAATCACCGCCATCATGCTCGCCTCGCTCGCCGCGCTCTCGCTCGGCCTCCGCGTCCCGGCTTCGCCGCCGTCACTCGACAGGCGCGCGGCACTCGCGACTGCGGCCGCGGCGGCGCTCTCGTCGCCGCTCTCCGCAACGGCGGCGGCACCCGACTACGCCGGTGCGAAGGCTGCGCTCGCGGCAATGATCACGGCGGATCCCGACATCGGTCCGACGATGGTGCGGCTGGCGTGGCACTCGTCGGGCACGTACGACAAGATGAGCAAGACCGGCGGCAGCGGCGGCGGCACCATCCGCTTCAAGGAGGAGCTGGCGCACGGAGGCGACCGCGCGACATATCCGCGATACTCCTCCCCTCTCCACCTCACTCTGCTCGCTCCGCCGTCGCCGTCCCTCGTACACGACACGCCGCCCACACGCTTGCTGACGCGCTCGCTGCGACTGTAAGACTGTTCGCAAGCTTGATTTAGTACCAACTGTTGGCCGCAGGCAACGCGGGCCTCGACAAGATGGTTGCCAAGCTGGAGCCTCTGCTAACCCTAACCCGAACCCTAATCCTAACCCTAACCCTAACCCTAAACCTAGGTTGCCAAGCTGGAGCCTCTGCACGCGCAGTTCGGAGGCACATTGTAGTATTCCATTGCATTTACTACACCTGGACCGCTGACTACTCGCTTGCCCTCCATCGATTAAACCCCTTTCAACAGGCACATCTCGCCTTGCCGACCGCGCCATTAATCATTAATGACCTCCTTGAATAGGCATCTCGTACGCCGATCTCTACACGCTCGCCGGCGCCACCGCCATCGAGGCTGCCGGCGGGCCGACCGTCGGATGGCGCGCTCACTGTCATTGGACATCTTTCATTCTTATCATTATTACAGTGATTGTCTCATTATTATAGGCGCGCGGGGCGGGTGGATGCGCTCGACCCGTCGACTGTCAAGGGACCTGATGTGGTGACTGTGCCCGACGCGGACAAGGGCTCGCCTAATGAACTGTTCAATTCACTATTAATTAACTGTCAATTAATTAGGTGACTGTGCCCGACGCGGACAAGGGCTCGCCCGCCAAGACGCTGAGCCACTTGCGGATGGACATCTTCTACCGCATGGGCTTCGACGACCGCGAGATTGTCGCGCTTTCGGGAGCCCACGCCCTGGGCCGCCGCCGAATTCGTTCTGAATCAACGGTTAATCGGCTGCTCATAATATTTTATTAGGAGCCCACGCGCTCGGCCGCTGCCACCCCGACGCTTCCGGCTACAGCGGCCCGTGGACCCCGACGCCGACCGTGCTGACCAACGGGTACTACGCGCTGCTTCTCTCGCTGCCGTGGACGCTCAAGGAGTGGGACGGGCCGATGCAGTTCGAGGACCCGTCGGGGAAGCTGATGATGCTGCCCTCGGACATCGCCCTCATCCAGGACAAGAAGATGCGGCAGTACGTGCAGATGTACGCCAAGGACAAGGAGCTCTTCTTCAAGGAGTTTGCCGCCGCCTTCCAGAAGCTCGAGGAGCTCGGCACCAAGAATCTCAAGACGGTCGCGCTGGCGTGAGGCGCCTCAAGGCCCCCAATGGGGGGGGGGGGGGGAGGGAGAGGGGGTTTCCTCCGCACCGCTCCCCTCTCCCTCCTCCCTCCGCGTTGCTTCGCCCGCGGCTACGGCCAGCGCGAGGTCTCGCGCAGCCTCGGCGGGTGCACTCCGCCGGCCGCCTCCCCCCCCTTCGGCTTCCGCACCCCTTCACTTCTGCTGTACGATGGTACGTAACGCGAGAGCTGGGTCGCCAGATGCCGTCCGCCTGGGGGCGGGGTGGACTGGCGAAATCGCTCTGTCTCTCTCTCTCTCTGCTCTTTTGCGTCTCTACCCCGCATGCACGTACCCGCGGTTGTTAGGTAAGGTAAGGAATAAGGGAAGAAGGAAGGAACGATCGTATCCACGACACTCGCAGTCGCGCGCACACAAAGTGGTGGGGCGCGGCAAGCCCCCCGGGACGGCCTCCCGGCGCGCGACCGCGGGTTGGGCGCTGTTAGAGCGCGGCGTACGGTATGTGTCCTGAGCTTTCGCGTGAGATGGAGCTTGCGCGACCGAAATGAAAGAGGTGCGGGGGTTTCTTTTTGCCCCGCATGCCGGGGGGCGGGCGCATTATCACTTCGCTTCAGCGATTCAGCGCTTCAGCGTTCAGGGCTTGAGGCGGCGTGGGGCGTGCCTTCTCGCGACTCGTGTCTATCTTTGATGCGCGCCTGCTCTCTACTTGTAGCCGGTGCCCCGCGCCGCCGCCGCGTCCCGTCCGCCAAAGTAGTTTGCCTTCTCGCGCCCCATTGCGTCGGCGTGCCGCGCCCGCTCCGCCGGCCCTGCGCGCGCTGTTGGCTCCGCCTCCAGATCAAAAGCGCCGACCGCAGGGTCGTAGCGGCCGCCGACGAGGGTGGCAGACCTGCGTGCTGAATACACCAATGAATACGCCAGCATCGGGGCGGGAAGGCGGTCTTGTGAACAGTCGTCAGAGCACCGCGTGAATACGAGCGACACCAAACACAACGAGTACAGCTGAGTACCTGTCCTCTCGAGCGCTGGTAGGAGCACAAGAATGCGTATTTGTTTCGCTTCTAGCATGCCATGCTCGCGGCTTGCGCCTAGAAAAACGAAACACCGTATGAGAAAAAAGAAACACGCCGCCGTCGGCTCGCGGCTCGCGGCTGGCGCCGACGCGCGACGCGCTCGCCGCAACGTACCGCACCTATGAAAAAGAAATATGTCGACGCGAAAAAGAAAGACAGCGCGGCAGACTGTGCCTACAACAGCCGCACCGCCAAGCCGACGCGCCGCGCGCCCGTGCAGTTGGGCGACGAGCGGTGCACCTACAAAAAGACATGCGGCTGCGAGAACAAGAAAACAAACAAGCCGCAGTTGGGCGACGAGCGGTGCACCGTGCGGAAGAGATGGAGGCTCGCCTCGCCCGCCGCGAGTGGCGCAGGCACGCCGCCGCCGCCACCTGCGCCACCGCCGCCGCCGCCGCCGCCGCCGCCGCCGCCGCCGCCGCCGCCGCCGCCAGGAGAGGGGGGAGAGGGGGAGAGGGACTGCTCGTACTCGATCAGCGTCTGCCCAAAGGCGAGGAGGTTGTCGCCGCCATCGCCGTCGCCGCCCGCGCGCGCATGCGGCAGCTGGTGGCAGACGTGCGGCAGCTGGCCGACCAGATGTGAGCCCGGCGCGAAGACGAGGCAGCCCGCCTAATTAATAGTTAATGAATAATTAATTAACTATTAACTAGGCGCGAAGACGAGGCAGCCCGCCTGCCCACCAACGCACTTTGACTGCTCACCGACGCACCTTGATCCAGCGGTGCCGAAGCACCACTCCAACGCGCTCAACGCAACGCTTGTGCGGGGAAAGGCTTGGGCAAGCAGTCGCGCGAGGAAACTCGAGGCCACGTGCCGCGCTGTGTGATCGGCCGAGTGTCTCGGCGCGGACGTCTCCGACGCCCTCGTCCCGTCGCCTCTCTGTCTACTTGCAGCCCGCCTCGACGGGAGCGTCGCTGAGCGCGACCCACGCGGTCAGCGCGCCGTCGGCGGGCAACAGGCCGGCGTACGTCGAATCCTGGTGCGCCTGTGGGCGCATTTCTTCGTCGGTATTCCACAGCGGGAGGCCGGTGCTCGGGGAGAGTTGGTGCGCCGACGCATACGTCGCCGAGTGGGGCGGCTTGTCGTTCACGTCGCTGGACCACACCAGGATATCTTTTGTCCCGAGTGCCTCTTGCGCCGCGGCGACGAGGGCGGGGTGCCTCACCAGCCGCGCTGCCCACGGCAGAAGGAGGTGGATCTTGAAGCGCGCGTCGCCTCCCAGCCTCCCTTGCTCCCCATACTCAGCCTCGTACGCCTCCAGCTCGGCGAGCGCCTCCGCCGCCTCCTCACGGCTCAGCACGCGGATCGGCGACGCAAAGCCATCACGAGCGATGCGCAGCGAGAGTGGCAGCGGCGGAGGCGCGGGCGGCTCCGCCGTCCCTCGGTGCGGCGGCTCTGCCGACCCATCGTTCGCTTTGGGCGCCTTTGCGGTGATGAAGACCAGCCGGTCCTCGAATCGGAGCATGCCTCCACCACTGCCTCCATCGCCGCCGCTGCCACCGCCACCGCCACCGCCGCAACCAACAGCCTGGCCACCGCCACCCTCGCCGCCCTGTCCGCCGCTGCACCCGCCTTCGCGCCTCCTCGCCTCGGCCCGGATCTGGTCGCACCCGTCCCTCAGTGCCTCCTCGTCAAAGTGCGAAAAGGTGGACCAGAAGCGGCCGAGGACCATGCTGCACCACGCCTCGGTTGGGAGCTCGCAAGGGTACGCACGCCGCTGCACTTGGACCTGGCCAATGGCGGGCGAGCGGACGTCCGGGGCAGGCACGGGGCGCTCTGCAACTGCCTCTCGCCTCGTGCGTCAACGGAAGTCTGGAGAGGCGCTCTACTCTCACTCACATCCTCGAAGCCCGCGCTCTCCAGCTCGGCGGCGATGGTGCCCTCCGCCGGCTGGTTGGCCGCCCACACGTCCCTCGCCGCCGCCCAGAGCGGGTAGTCGACGTCCCGCTGCGGCCTGCAGGGCCGAGGTACGCCCAGATGCGGCCGAGACTCACCAAGATCTGGCCTGCAGGGCCGAGATAGGCCGAGACGCGGCGGCAGACTCTGCAGCGAGCAGATCTCGAGATCTCGCTCGAAGCGCACCGCGTGACGATACACAGCTGCCCGCCCTCCGAGAGGCGTCGGCGGAGGAGCAGCCCAAAGAGCCGACGCCGGTCGTCGCTATTGAGGTGATGGACCACCTCCTTGAGCAGCACGCGTTCGAAAACGCCCTCTCCGCCGCCCTCTCCGCTGCCACCGCCACCGCCGGACGCCCATCCGACGGCGTCGGAGCACACGGCCGCGTCAACGAGCGGTGTCTCTAGCGCGCCGTCCAGCATCTCGCCGCTCGGCTCGACGACGGTGAGCGAGCCGCAGCCGCGCTTGCCGCCGACGGCTTGCCGAAGTGTGCTCGCGAAGCCTCCACTGCCTCCACCGACGTCTGCGAGCCGGTGGCGCGGCAGCAGCTGGAGGCTGTCGAGGCAGGCGGCGGCGAGCCAGTTCGTGTACGGACCGTGCGAGTAGAAGAGCGCGGCGTCGTAGGCGCGGCGGACCGTGGCGTAGTGCGATCGGCTCGACACACTCATCCAAAACAGACGCGCGCAAAACGAGCTCCGGCCGCTGTGGAGATAATATATACCGCAACACCTTGGTCTACTCAACAACCGTTACGCAATGCGCGACATTGCACTCCTCCGTGCCGCTCGCTCGCCGCTGCGCGGGATATGGGCGCCGATGCGGCTCGCGCTCACTCGGCCTGCCTCCGCCTCGCGGCTCGCTGAGCACGCCGTTGGTCCGTCTGGTGCAGCGCTGCCCGCTCGCTGCGCTGCACAAAGCTGCGAGAAGCAGGGAGCCCTCCTGAGCTGGAGCATTGTGCAGCGCGGCTGCGAGAGCTCGACGGCGCCTGTGCTTTGGTGTGAGAGCCTGATGGGTGGCAACCTCCAGCTGCATCGACATGCGCAGCCTGCTCTCCGGCCCGGTGCCGAGGCATGCGGGTTGGCGAATGGCGCCAGCTTCTCAACGCTGTCCTCGGCGTCGTGCAGCATGTCGCAGTACTTCTGCGGCGATGAATGGCGCGCGGGGTGCGTCGTGCCGCGCGTGGAGTGGGAGGCCCGAGGCACACGGCTGTCGGTCAACTCCGCGGCGCATGCGCGCCGTGGAAGCTGCTCGACAGGCGACTTGCATGGTGCGAACGCGATCGCCGTTACTGCTTCCAACTTTGCCTATCAACCTCCGTCGGTTATTATAACCGAAAGTTTGGTTGGGGGGTACGGCGCTCAAGAGTTGCGACTGAGCGAGATCGCTGACCTTCCTTTCTTTTCCCTTTGCAGGGAGGGATTGACTTCTTCCGTCCCCCCCGCCGCCTCCTACCTGATTTCTTCCATCCGGACTGCTGGTTGCTGGAAGTGTGTGACTCCTGCACCAGGGCAGCACTTCCACCCAGGAGT